CACTTCGCGTCTTGTCCTCCAGTCCCTGATTCTCCTTGGTCTTTGGGCTTATGCCTCACAGAAAGTGCTAACATTCATGATGATACTGATCTATTCAGTGATGTACAGGGATCCTGTTCCTCTCTCCAGGAAGAAGAAAGTGGAAACAGATGTCTTTCTTTATACAAGGATTCCCAAGCAAATTACATCACTAAGGAGGACAGGAGAAGCTGGAAAAAGAAGAACAAGGCGGTGCCCAGAGGCAAAACTGTGGAGCTGGGCTTTCATTTAATGAGCTCTCAGAAACTACATGCTCTGTTGGAACAACAGAGAAGGCCATTCTTCTGTGAAGAATGCCTTTTCCAAATATGTTTCTCAAGCTGCTGATTCCAGATGTACTTTTAGTGTGTCTGGTTTAAACAGGACTGCTGCTCCTTGATCGGAAGATGACACCGGCTGTCATATGAGAGCATCTTGACATGCCTTCCTAGGATCTGTTACCTTACTTTAAAAAGTTCTGAGACAGTTTCATGCGAAGTTGAACTGAGTATTGAATTAAAAAAAAAAAAAGATAGGGAGAGTGCTTGAAAAAACAGAGAAATGGATAACTAGAATAAAGAATACATGTATACTCATATGCACTTACTTACATTTATAATATTAAAAAATGTCATCAATGTGGTTTACATTAATACAAATTTAATCCTGTTACTCCTTTTTCAATTGCTTCCCATAATAAACTCTGTGCTGTGGCCCAAAGGATCATTTCATTACACATGTCCTTAACATTTATCCAACATCATTTTTCACCACTTCACTTGTACCCTAAATACTCAAGTAATTTTAAACCAACTGTTGGTCCCTGATAAATCTCATCGGCATTGGCAGGTGCCTCTGCCTGGGATGCTCCCTCAACCATCACCATCTCGAAACCAACCGATCTTCTTTTATGACTCAGTTTTCACCTTTTGTGGGAGAACTTCCCTGACTCTGCCCAGCTGATTGGAGCTCCTATTTCTCTGCA